CAAAACGGCGCATATTTGACTTGAATCGCATTATTGTAACCAAGACCGCAAGACTTTTTTGACAACCTAATATATACTACATGCAAAAGAAAGATAACTTTTGGGAAAGTTTTAAGCAGATAGCTTTAAAACTGAAGGACTAGTTTGCGTAGAAACGGATGGACGGACAGACGGACGGACAGACGGACAGACAGACGTACATGGCTAGATCGACTCTCCTGGTGATTCTGATCAAGAATATATATACTTTATAGGGTCGGAAATGTCTCCTTCACTTCGTTGCAAACTTTTGACTGAAATTATAATACCCTCTGCAAGGGTATAAAAATATTATTCCCTTAACGTACAATTTGAAAAGTAGAACAAAAAATGTTTATTGCTGTGCTTTGTAAGGGTAATTATTAACCAGGCGAGCAATTAGATAAATTACAAGCACTTTGTATGTAAAAGCAGCAAAAATTACATTAATAACATTTAATGCTCTTAAGTGAAATGGTTTGGTTTCCAAATGGAACTGCATCCTTGATTCTCTGCTCTAGCCTACGTCAGAAATCAATTAAGATAAATTGCGCGACACAAGGGCGATAGCTAAAGTCGGAGATATAACTATAGAGACTGCAAATCAACTTAACTCAACGACAGAATCATTTTAGTCTGGCAGAAAAGGCGCATGGAAATCGTATCGGCATCATGGTGCCACCATCAGTATAGGGAATCGTACTTTGAATACGTTAGTAGTAGTTCTATGCCCGTAACGAGGAAAATTGTTCCGATTAGGTGTTAGTGCATCTCATTAATGAAATGTCCTTGTGGCAACCTAAAAACAATTGGCGACTTAGTCACAGGCAAATGGAACTTGCCGCCTTTTAGGCGCCGCTTAAATTTTCGCACGCCAACATATTGTGGTCAGGTTGTTTTACATAACAAAATTTTGTTTACCACTTTCCCGATAATTGATTAAGCAACTTCAGATTCCTTTTGTTGTGTTTTTGATCATCATTAACAGGAGAGTCGATCTGTCTGTCAGTCCGTTTCTACGAAATCTTGACTCTCAGTTTGAAAACTATCTAGATGAAACTAGATGAAATTTACTTATTTGCAGATATAATATTCGGTTTTTCAAAGTTTGCTTACTTTTCTGTTTTTTGTTAACAGAGCTGGACTAAAGTAATAAAAATTAATTATCAATCTATAATTGCACATAAGTGTGTTCCCGTGCTATTAATTCCAACTAATTTAATTTTATTAAATCACGTACATCAGTACGCTTTTAATAAATTTTTGTGTTTCCTTCCATCAGTTCGTTTGTCTCTTTCATAACTAAATTTCTCTAGTTTCTATATTTTCCACAATGCTTAACAAGATGTAACATATGTATGTATATCCTATTCAGACACGTGCAACTGTGTCACGTACAAGCCGAATTTTTCTACATTATCCAAACAGTAGGCTCTTGGTCGCCCTTTTGTCTTTTGCATGTTCCTAACGATGCAGACGCATAACATAACATAATTAATATTTCTTATATTGGTTTTACGGCGAAGCTATTTGGTGAATGTCACAAATAAAAAGCATGAATTTCAGTCAAAAGTTTGTAACGCAGTGAAGGAGACATTCCCGACCCTAAAAAGTATATATATTCTTGATCAGCATCACCAGGAGAGTCGATCTAGCCATGTCCGTCTGTCCGTCCACTTTCTACGCAAACTAGTTCCTCAGTTTTATTATATATTTTTATACCCTTGCTGAGGGTATTATAATTTTGGTCAAAAGTGTGCAACGCAGTGAAGGAGACATCTCCGACCCTCTCCTTTGCACGCATTATAAAAGTCTATAGCTGCCATATAAATGATTGATTGGAAATGCCATAACTTTGATGTTTGTAAAGTTAGGAAGTTGTGATTTTCTATGCGTTTTATTTTAATCCGACTTACCAAATTTCATAAGCTTCGGCCGACTATATCCTATAGCTGTCATATAACTGAACGATCAGAAATGACATAGCTTACAAAATATTCTGCAAGGGTATATCAACTTCGGCTCCGCTCGAAGTTAGCTTTCCTTTCTTGTTATTTATATATGTCGACACTACAACTTATAGTATTTTGGCGACTTCTACAGTTTTGACTTGAATTCGATTATTAGATTTAGTTTAAGGCATTCCATTCAGAAGAGCACCGGCAAACTACTTTGGAATAGCTCTGCTCACGCTTTCTAGCTTAAGAATCCGATCTTCCAACATCCTTTCCATAATTTTTCCCAGTGCAGGTAGATGACTTATTGGCATCTACTTCGGTGAGCCGCCCAGGCTTGGGAATAATCGATATGACTGCAGATTTCCATGCACTTGGCTAATGACTCAGCCTCAAAACTACAGGACTAATACAAGACTTTTAAGGGTTTTATTGGGAAGAGCTTTTTAAATAGGAGACTTCGGGGTGACCTGTCTTTTTAATCGATTCCATAAAGAGTAGTTGGCCAATGCATCTGGACTTGCATTTTCCAACATTTGGTCAAAGTGATCTTGCTTGTTCTTCATTAGGATTTTGCTTAGACGATTTTATAGCCTTTCATATATGTTGTACATTCGTATATCTCGTGTTATTGTGTATTCCCGATGAACTTTTCTTTTTAGTTGAATGAGAACTAAAGCATTTTTGGAACAAGGTTGCTTCTACTTTGGTTGGAAAAATGAGTTTGGTTTTTTAAAGCAAATGTCGCAGCCGAATATATTTTTTTTCATAAAGAGGTAAAGTCATGTGCAAGATTATTGAGTGATACCCTATTACGTTGAAAAAGTCTAGAGCTCTTGATGTAATTCCGATGTTAAATATCCGACTTGTGACCTTCGTCTACTCACCTTTTATAAATTTAATCCAAATTCCTTCAGCTTTATTGTCCATTCTCTCTCAGTTTCATAGCCTTTCCATTACAGTAAGACAATTTTTTATACCCGTTACTCGTAGAGTAAAAGGGTATATTGTATTCGTGCAAAAGTATGTAACAGCTAGAAGGAAGCGTTTCCGACCCTATAAAGTATATATATTCTTGATCAGGGTCACTAGCCAAGTCGATCTAGCCATGTCCGTCTGTTCGTCTGCCTGTCCGTCTGTCTGTCCGTATGAACGCTGAGATCTCGGAAACTATAAAAGCTAGAAGATTGACATTTTGCATGTAGATTTTAGAAGTTCCTACGCAGCGCAAGTTCAAAATGGTGCCACGCCCCCTTTAACGCCCACAATCGCTTATATACGATTTTAAAAATTTAAATATTTCGGAAAAGTAAAAATGCAGTTTTATTGTGTTTATCAATACCTATCGAAATGTAGAAGAAATTTTTCAAATCGGAATATTCGTTAAAAAGTTATGCGTGATCAAAGTTTCTATCTCCATCTCCCTCGCACTCCCTTTACCTGAGTAACGGGTATCTGATAGTCGGGGCACCCGACTATAGCGTTCTCTCTTGTTTTGTATTTATGTGTCCACCTTTTTGTTCAATTTGTTTCGCCGTAAATTTAATTTGCAATTTCTCTCTTTGACGAGCAATAATCTTTTCGTTTGCTTTGCGGGTGAGGAACCTCAGCCCAATCAATTGGATTTTCATTGGATAAAACACTCATCCTGTCAGCCATCAGCAATCGTTTCTTTCTTTCCCCACATAAATGGGGTAGGTGTTTTGAGGATAATCGAAGGTCGTTAAATTGGTCCGTAAGTCTAGTTTTAAGATCAAGCAAAAAAAAAAAAAAAAATACTTTTCGTCGGGGTTTCTTCTCACCCCGGTATACAAATCGTCAAACCACCTGAAACTAACCAAAAAGAATACAAAATTAAATCTTTTGACTCATTTGTTGTCAGAGCAGTGTGCTTCTACGATCATCTATGGTTTGAGAAAGCAGCTATGAACAAAATAATTATCGTCTTGCCAAGATACTTTAGAATATCTTTTAAGGGTCCTTTCTTGCGTCAATGTTTATTCTTTCAAGTGTCCTCCTCTATTGCCACAATACTTGCTCTCAACATTTTCGTTTTTGTTCAATTGTTCAAATTGATTTGTTTACAGTATATCAACATACCCATCTAATTGACAGTCAGTTTGAATAAACTCTCAAATCTGGATTTCCTAGTTCTTACAAATTTAACCAGAGCTAATCCAAAATGTTGTTGTGCGAGGTTTAACTTGCCTTAACATACAATTTTATTTACATTATGGACTTTTTTCGCCTTAGCTACCTCGCATCTCAGACGTGTTTTAACAAATCACACGATTCGGCCAAAATAATGTTGTCTCAGTCGCAAAGAAATTAAACAATAAGAAATACATGAATGAAGTCAGCTTGAACAAACTAAGCTATCAAGAGCTATTAATGAAATCTTTCTTCAACGGGTTTCAATCAGCCAACTATCATGTCCTTGACCATTTCGCCAATTCAATTTTTTTTAAAGTAAACTTTTAATTTTAAAGTTTATAAATAATATATTTTGTTAAATCGTGCAACCACAGATCTTTGCAGTAATGATCCAGTTGCTTGATAGCTCTCAAATGATATTAAATTTAGTGGTCACATCTGTAGTACATTCTTAAAGGTCCTTCTCGCGGTTAGCAATTCAAACAAGGATGACTTTTGCTTTTAATGTGCATGCATTTTTTGGGTATTTTAAAGTCTTTCAAACGGAAATTCTTCAATCTTGATACACATGTAAACCAAAATGTATTAAAACATAAAATATTTAATCATAATGTCTGCACATCTAACTAGTACGGAAGTACGGAATTATTTTATTCATCAAAAAGTAAAATTTGTAATATTTTGAACACCCGTCAATAAATGAGTACGAATATCCCTTAGTCGGGAATCCGACTATAGTGTTCTTTCAGAGATAAATGGTCAAACAGTTATCGAAAATATTCAAAACGAGTTGTAAGCAATGTGTTCTAAAAAACTAAACTTTTTTCTAAACATGCTTTCCAAAATGTGGCCCTGCTCTTTGGAATTAAATAGTGTCAAGGAGATCTGCGCCAATAAAGAAAAATAATAAGATTCGTTCCAAGCAGCCGCGGCTCAGCAAGAAAGTCAAATTTATAAGTAAGTATAACATATAATTTTTTTTTAATAATAACACTTGTTTACAGTCAAAATATAGCATGAAGATTCATATCAATGATTTGTTGAAGTGGACCCCTGGATTACGAAAAGGGATATAAAATTTGTTTTCTATTGGCAATTTTTTTTTTGATTTTTTTGGGATTTGTGGCTTACGAATTAAGCATATGTGTTTTATTTTTCAACTTGAATGATGTATCTGTTCGTTATCTTTAAATAACGGTACATTTTAAAAACATCATATAAATAGTTTAAATTTCGATTTCCGATGTGATGTGACTCATTCGGTTTTTTTTTGTCTGCCAATAATAATTTTAAGAACAAGAACGAACGTTCGTTCTATTGTTGGCTACAAAAAAATTTTAATTATTGTTATATTATTAATGAATGAATAACATGATTTTTACCTGGGTTGGCAGATATGACTGATATACGACTAAGCATAAATTATTTTATGATTCCTTTTCTTTAAGAGTTATTCATATATTTCAAAATATTCTATTAACAGTGCTAAAGTTTAATACAATCTATATATTAATCAAATCACGTAAAGATTAATAATTTCCTTCAATTAGAAGACTCCCTTATTAAACCTTACTAAAATAATCGATGAGCGGACTTTCGGAGTGCGGCGCCACATTGACGAACGTTTCGGTATCTGGTTTCATAGATTGTTTTAATTTTACCGGCAATCCACCCCACATGTATGTCGTACCAGCAGAACCTTACTCCACCTTGCATGCTGACGACTAATAAAGTAAACGTCCGTTGGCCATAAAACAATCTTAGGCACACAACACACACCATCAGATCCGACCTCCATAACAAAAACTACAATGGCGACTCAGTAATTTAACCGCTCGTTAAACTGGACTGCGGTGTTGCATGATATATAGAAACTTTATTTGTGCTAGTTGGATATCCGAAGTCTCACTCATAGTACGGAGGAAATACAAAAAAAATGGAGGTGTGAGTTTCGCGATCATACTATTTTTATACCCTTGCAGAGGGTATTATAATTTTGGACAGAAGTTTGTAACGCAGTGAAGGAGACGTTTCCGACCCCATAAAATATATATATTCTTGATCAGGATCACCTCCTGAGTTGATATAGCCATGTCCGTCTGTCCGTCTGTCTGTTTCTACGCAAACTAGTCTCTCAGTTTTAAAGCTATCGAATTGAAACTTTGCACACACCCTTCTTTCCTTTGCACGCAGTATATAAGTCGGAACGGCCGGGATCGGCCGACTATATCCTATAGCTGCCATATAGCTGATTGATCGGAAATGCCATAACTTTGGTGTTTGTAAAGTTAGGAAGTTGGGATTTTCTATGGGTTTTATATTTGGCCAATCAATCCGAGTTTGGTTCCTAACTTATAAAAATTTAAAACAAAATTGTTTATTAGTAAAGATGTTTCTAAAGGTAACTACGGTGAGTTATTTTTATACCCTTGCAGAGGGTATTATAATTTTGGTCAAAAGTGTGCAACGCAGTGAAGGAGACATCTCCGACCCTATAAAGTATATATATTCTTGATCAGGATCACCTCCTGAGTGGATATAGCCATGTCCGTCTGTCCGTCTGTCTGTCCGTCTGTCTGTTTCTACGCAAACTAGTCTCTCAGTTTTAAAGATATCGAATTGAAATTTTGCACACACCCTTCTTTCCTTTGCACGCAGAATATAAGTCGGAACGGCCGGGATCGGCCGACTATATCCTATAGCTGCCATATAACTGATTGATCGGAAATGCCATAACTTTCGTGTTTGTAAAGTTAGAAAGTTGGGATTTTCCATGGGTTTTATATTTGGCCAATCAATCCGACCTACCAAATTTCATAAGGATCGGCCGACTATATCCTATAGCTGTCATATAACTGAACGAATGGAAATGCCATAACTTTGGTGTTTATACCCGTTACTCGTAGAGTAAAAGGGTATATTGTATTCGTGCAAAAGTATGTAACAGCTAGAAGGAAGCGTTTCCGACCCTATAAAGTATATATATTCTTGATCAGGATCACTAGCCGAGTCGATCTAGCCATGTCCGTCTGTCCGTCTGTCTGTCTGTCTGTCTGTCTGTCTGTCTGTCCGTATGAACGCTGAGATCTCGGAAACTATAAAAGCTAGAAGATTGGCATTTTGCATGTAGATTTTAGAAGTTCCTACGCAGCGCAAGTTTGTTTCAAAATGGTGCCACGCCCCCTTTAACGCCCACAATCGCTTATATACGATTTTAAAAATTTAAATATTTCGGAAAAGTAAAAATGCAGTTTTATTGTGTTTATCAATACCTATCGAAATGTTGAAGAAATTTTTCAAATCGGACCATTCGTTAAAAAGTTATGCGTGATCAAAGTTTCTATCTCCATCTCCCTCGCACTCCCTTTACCTGAGTAACGGGTATCTGATAGTCGGGGCAACCGACTATAGCGTTCTCTCTTGTTTTAAAGTTAGGAAGTTTGGATTTTTTATGAGTATTAAGAATGCATCATATGAATAATTTTGGAGAATATAATTTACAGAGTATTCTGCAAGGGTATATCAACTTCGGCTCCGCCGGAAGTTAGCTTTCCTTTCTTGTTTTATTCAATTTTTGGATTTTTGTAACATTTTGAAGTGTTTTTTTTTGAAGGATTTCCCGATTTTACCATTCTCAAATCCTTTTAGACTGTGTTACTTTCTACTGTCCATTTAGAAAATGAAAACTTCGGAATCAATTTTTGAAGTTTTTTACAATATAATTAAAATTACACTATGCTATCGTTCTCTTACTCGACTTTGCGCCAAATATAGAAAAACATGGCTCCTATTTACTCAGTCTAAGAGGACCTCAATTGCGCCAGTAATGCACAAAATAAACAAAAAGGCAGAACATAATAGTGGAAAGGGCAGCAAATAGCGCTACGAAAACTATAAAAAAATCTATAGTGCATTGACCTTTTCTATACATATTTTTACGGCAATTTCGTTGTGTTTTTTTTTGCCCGACTGACTTTTGATTTCTTCTTTCTAAATAAATAAATTTATTAATAATCACTTAATAGAACGTTTTTAGAGCCTGAGCTGGTCGAGTATATAGGAAAGATATTTGCAGAAATAAATACTTAGGTAAGGTAAAAAGTGTAATTTTCATTTAAATTTTTTTCAATGTAAAGGTGAGAATCAAATCTAACAAATTTTATTAAAAAAAATTGTTATTTAAATTTAATCTATAGACTTAAAAGTTTCTTTTTATTAGCACGATATACATCTGAAGTAAGCAGTAACAGTAACAAACAAGAAAGGAAAGCTAACTTCGGACGGAGCCGAAGTTGATATACCCTTGCAGAATATTCATATGATGCATTCTTAATACTCATAAAAAGTCCCAACTCCCTTACTTTAAAAACACCAAAGTTATGACATTTCCAATCGTTCCGTTATATGGCAGCTATAAGATATAGTCGGCCGATCCTTATGAAATCCTTATGAACCCATAGATGATCCCAACTTCCTAACTTTAAAAACACCAAAGTTATGGCTTTTCCAATCGTTCAGTTATATGGCAGCTATATGATATAGTCGCCCGATCCGGCTCGTTCCGACTTATATACTACCTGCAATAGAAAGACAACTTTTGGGAAAGTTTCAAGCAGATAGCTTTAAAACTGAGGGACTAGTTTGCGTAGAAACGGACGGACAGACGGACAGACGGACATGGCTAGATCGACTCTCCTGGTGATGCTGATCAAGAATATATATACTTCATGGAGTCGGAAATGTCTGCTTCACTGCGTTGCAAACTTTTGACTGAAATTATAATACCCTCTGCAAGGGTATAAAAAAGTCTCAAAATAGTTGTTAGAAAAAAAAATTTGAATGAATGTTGTGGAAAACAGTAAGCCACAAATATTTCGAAAAAAAAACAATTTTCTTAAGTTGGTAGTCAAAAAGCTTAATTATTAAAATTGCTTAGCAATGGGTAAATCAGCAGTTTTGTTTCAAAGCGAATTGTGCTTTAAGAATGCCTTAATAATTATATATGTATATAGAAAAGAAGGCCATTACAGGGGGTGTTTATAACCTGACCCAAAAGTTTCCAACGGGATTTAGAGTATGTAGGCAAATCAGACTTAGCTGAACAATGTTGACAAATGTTGACAAAGATCCATTAATTGTTTTCAGGGAAATCCATTTGTTGAGTTGATTTAATTGTATAGCTGTCATACCCACCATAATGATACCCGCAGTTAATTCTTACAGTGCATGCTGTCTTTCATTTTGGTATGACTAAATGGGTTTTAAAACTTCGGCCTGCGGAAGTTATAGCTTTAGTTCTAAAAAGATCGACAACATGTAAAAATTGCACTGATCAGTAGAGGGATTGTTCAGTAATAAAATGGAAAGTGCGCGATTAATCGAAAAAAATGCCAAGATTTTTTATTTTCAGCCCTATGCTTTTTAGATGTTGTTTAATATGAGAATTGTGTTGGGTTGTTTACTAACTTCTAACAATTCAGTTCGATCTTCAGCTGGCAAAACCAAAAATCCATATTCAAACTCGAATCAATCCCTGCAGCCACTCCCTGTTTCCAGCTTAGTTTCTCTTGCCCAATTCATAGGCCGTTCGTTTTGGTGATGATGTCGAGCTCAGCTGGCAACCAAAACCAATTAGGGCCCTCAACTTGACTGCCCCATTGGCGGTGCATTGGGCGTTTGCTTGCCAGACGACTGTCGCCGGAAACTAACAACAACATAGAAGCGACGGACGCCGTTTGTTTTTTGGCTGAGCAGCATATACCAATAAGTATGCTACACGACAAACTTCTGTAGACCAGTCCCAAAGGACTGTGAGAGTGTGCAACATTTTTGTGCCGCATGGTTGTGGCCCTTTGCCGGTTTCATCACAGTTTTAGACACTCCGTTCGTCCATTGGTTCAGTTGCCAAGCGAATATCTGCGCGACAACAGCTTCGTGAGAAGGACTAAAAATATATTATTTTAAAATTCTTTATTATTAATTCGTACTACCGTGTTTGTATTATTGTCTGTGATTCACAATGGTGGCTATCGATTTACGTTTAAATGGTAAGTCAAGTTGTTGGCTTGACCACTTTTATGAAGTAGTTTGTTATAAAACGGACAGGAGGCAAAATAATATATTTTCCCATGGAAAAATTACACTAAGGTCACTATAATTAAAATCACCCTTGTTTTATGGAAAAATGTTAAATTTCAAATGAAGGCTATTAACATAATTTGCTAAGAACTCCACTTCCTATTCCACACTCACCAAGCTTACTTTTTCAACGGTTATTCTGCTGACTCATGCAAAAAAACAATTTAAATGCAAGTTAAGCAAGAAAGAAAGCTAACTTCGGCAAGCCGAAGTTTATATACCCTTGCAGTTATTACAAAACGGGTACATTTCGATGTATATTCCTATATTACTAAAAACAATGAAGCTATGTCGTTTTGCGCTGGATTTGGCTATCGTGTCAATGGCAGCTATATGATATTGTTGTCCGATTTTAATTTAATTAAAACCGTAATTCTATTATATTTAAATATTACCAACTCCCAAGGAATAATAAAAAATTAAAAACAACAAAGTTATAATTTTTTTGAATTTTTTCCGATTATTCCTATGGGAGCTATATGATATAGTCGCCCAATCCGGCTCGATCGGACTTATATACTACCTGCAACAGAAAGACAACTTCTGGGAAAGTTTCTAGCAGATAGCTTTCAAACTGAGGGACTAGTTTGCGTAGAAACGGACGGACGGACAGACGGACAGACGGACATGGCCTCTGCAAGGGTATAATAATTTAACACAACATTCAAAAAGGCAATAGTAACAAGGACGGAAGCTAACTTCGGCAAGCCGAAGTTTTAATACCCTGGCCGACTTTGTTGAAATGGCTCAAATTGAAAAGGAAGCGAAAGGAATAGGGTATACATAAATAAACTAGATTTGCATTGTTTCATGTCAAATGCTTTTATACTGCAAAAATTTCATATAAAAATATAAAAAAAGGGATATTTCCGCAGCTTTTAACAATTCTACCTACAGAAACTGTAAGATATAGACGTCCGATCGGCAAGCGCTTTTACCCTGATCAAGATATGCGTAAATAAATAAGACTTGAAAAAATTTATGTTAATAGCTTACACACTGCACGAAATATTCTGAAAATCATCAAATTTTGACCGATTTCACCCTATTGTTCCAATGGGAGCTATAGGATATAGACGTCCCTGATCAAGGTATTCATAAAAAAACAAGAGAGAACGATATAGTCGGGTGCCCCGACTATCAGATACCCGTTACTCAGGTAAAGGGAGTGCGAGGGAGATGGAGATAGAAACTTTGATCACGCATAACTTTTTAACGAATGGTCCGATTTGAAAAATTTCTTCTACATTTCGATAGGTATTGATAAACACAATAAAACTGCATTTTTACTTTTCCGAAATATTTAAATTTTTAAAATCGTATATAAGCGATTGTGGGCGTTAAAGGGGGCGTGGCACCTTTTTGAAACAAACTTGCACTGCGCAGGAACTCCTAGAATCTGCATGCAAAATGCCAATCTTCTAGCTTTTATAGTTTCCGAGATCTCAGCGTTCATACGGACAGACAGACGGACAGACAGACGGACAGACAGACGGACAGACGGACAGACGGACAGACGGACATGGCTATATCGACTCGGCTAGTGACCCTGAACAAGAATATATATACTTTATAGGGTCGGAAACGCTTCCTTCTAGCTGTTACATACTTTTGCACGAATACAATATACCCTTTTACTCTACGAGTAACGGGTATAATAAGATTTAGAAAGATTTATGTCAATAGCGCGAAATATCTTCCATTCCTGCAAGTTATATCCGATTGTTCCATCCGATCGGTGCGGTTTTCAAACTTGATCTGAACTTGAATTATATGAATAAAGAGAATAAACATTTTTTCCATTTGCTTTACTGTTTTCTTCATAATTCGCTCCGAAATGTGAAATATGCAAACATGTACTCACTTTTGCACCCCACTGTATATGACGGAGATCCCTCATTTCTTTCCACTTTTTTGTATAATTGCACAGCAAGTTCTGTTCGTTGCAAGAGACGCTTCCCAACTGACTTCAGTAACACAGAGTTCTGTCTAATTTCACAATTCCTGCAATGTATATTGCCCTCTCTGTTTCTCTCATTCAGTCAGCGCTCTACGATCAGACCATGATACAATAACATAAGGTAGTCTCGTCGGAAAATTTTGGTACCCTACTATTAAAACAATGAGTGCGAGTGAGATGGGAACTGTTTAGTAAGTAAGTTATTGTATCATGGATCAGACCATGTTCAGCAGCAGAGTGTGTCCCTTTTTCTCAGCTACTGTGCATTTTAAAACTACTAGCGACAATGAGTCGCCACACAAAAGCTGTACGCACACCTACAATGGGCAAACTAGCCATTCTATGTATACTATCCGTCCGTCCGTTCATCTGTCTGTCAGTCTCTTAGTTTTCAAGCTATCTGGATAAATCTTCCAGACGATACTTCATATAGCTTAAACAACAATCGGAAAAAAACTTGTAAGCAATATTATCGCTCCGAGAAATAGTGATATTAATATTTTGAGAAATTATGTTTTAGTTTGGATCGATCACTTCATATACATATGTAGATGCTAAGGAACAATCGGAAAAATATATAAAACAATGAAATAAATTATTAATCTTTGGTTTTAAATGTCATACATTCGAGAGAGAGAGTTAAACAAAAATATATATTTTAAAATGAGCAATATTTTTTTAATCTCACGAATACATAATAAACGGCAATTTCTGATTTTGGATACTTTTAACGTTAGTGGGGTGTACGACTTGATATTAAATTTTCTGATACAATAATTTGTTTATTATTTCTAAGACTTCGCAAATGTAATGCTTAATATAATGCTTATATAAAGGCAAGATCAAAAAAATTGAGTTTACTTTAAATTTGTAAAACAGACTTTTCATTGATATCAAGATTTGCAAAACTTCCCTTTACTTTTAAAAAAAATCAAATGATTTACTCCATGTTATAAACTCAACAAGACATTTGCTTTTTCTGAGTTTTTCTGCCTACGGAATAATTTTGTCCTGTATTGTTTTTTTTTCTATCCGTTACTGTCAATAAAATACTTTAAATAGATGGAATTTTTTTTTGTCGACTTATTTTTGTCTCTATACTTCTGGCCTATTTTGGTCTGGCAGACGAATTAGCAAGCATTCATTAAAATTTATTTAAGACTCCACTCTAAAAAAAGACGCTACCGCTTTAAACAGTCATTTGTTTAAGTTGTTTAGTTGTCCTTTCATTACTATAGAAATAAATATCCTAAAAATCCCTTTTTAATCAAAAATGTTTTTTAATTAATGGCATTTTATTTTTGATTGCTTATTTTACAAACCAGGTCAATAGTTCGATAATAATCCTATCACAGTAATACTATTATATGGACTGTCCTTTACTCAAAAGCTTTTTAATATTTAGCAAAAAAAAATATTATTCGAAAAGTTAAATCGGTTTAAGTTAGTTTCTTAATTATTTAAGCGCCCTTTTATTATTATATTATAAAAAATATTTTGACATAAAGACACCATAAAAAATGCCCTTTACAAGTAGCAATTATATTTCTCACACTTAAGATAACGCCTGCTATTCTTGATTTTGGGTTCAGTGAATCGGTCGGCGGACCGAAATTTAAGCAAGGGCAGCAAGTTTAAAAATGACGTCATATTTCTTTGATGGGGTAAAGACATGTTAGGGGTGACTGAAGTTCACCCTAAACCACAACCATCCGATGCACCCCAAATGCACAAGTATTGAATTACTCTAACCATCTTCCCCTACTCTCTTTTGTCCATAGCCACAGAGATTCGATGCCAGGAGAAGTCCCGCGGAGGATTGAGCTATGAGGTCATCCTGGCCGAGCCGGCACCCAACGTGGCCGTTCCCAAGCGACCGGTGACCCCCGGGAAGAACGTGAGCGTTGAGGAAATTGAGCAAAAGCTAAAGGCGGCAGAAGAGCGTCGTATTGTGAGTCTACACACATTTAAATCTCCCTGCTAATTAAAATCCTAACTACAACCTATTAAAAAAACATTTTTTGGATTTTGATTTTTCAATGTGCAGACTTTACTCTTATACGCTTAAAGAAAAGAATCATTTTTAGAAGCCAAACTTTGTAGTTCGGTACTTTGCTTTGGTATGCCAATTTTTGGTGATATCAATATGTTTATATTCCCTTTTAAATAATAATTGAACAAACATTTTTTAAAAGTCTCCCAACAAAGTTTGGTAAAAATTCTGTTCAGCGCGTAAAATAAAAAATTGTTATGGCCTTGAAGCGGGTTAATTCAGTCAAAAGTTCGCAACTTCCGACCCTTAATGAATATTTATCGTATAGCAATGAAGTACAGTGGCTCACAGCTTAAAGTATGCACTTCAAACCCCTAACTTCAAACTTCTATAGTGTTAAAACTATTGGGCGTACTGCATCAAATGTGGTGTCAAATTAAAGATGATATTGTTTATATTAAATTAGTGACTTCACTTATTGTCTACTTTTTCATTTTATAACCAAAATATAACAAAATAATAAAATACTGCTTATTTCTACCTCACAGCTTATTTTATGCAGCACCAAAAATATAAAAATATTTGGAAAGTATATATTTTTTTTGTTTTTTTTAGTATTTAGTGTGGTAGCCTTTAGTGTCTATTACCGCTTGAAGCCTTTTTGGCATCGAATCCACTAATTTTTTGTCAGTTCGGCTGATATAATGCTCCTCTCTTTGAAAAGAGCATCCTACAGCTGGTTTTTGTTCGAAATGGAGTATTTTCGAATATTATTCTCCAAAATTGCTCACAAATTTTCGATCACGTTTAGATCTGGAGATTGAGACGGCGGAATCCTGTATGTCCGCTGCTGGTCCAGGAAAACTGGACTTTTTTGAGTCTACAAAGGACAAAATGAAATATCTCAATATTCTCAAGGACAATTTGTTGCAAAGTGCGGAGGATCTGGGAATAAGGTCAAATTTCCGTTTTTATCATTACAATGATCCAAAGCACAAGGCGGGTATTGTGCAGTCTTGGCTGAGCTACAACTGTCCCCATGTGATGATTCCGCCGTCTCAATCTCCACAGCTAAACGTGATCGAAAATTTGTGAGCAATTTTGGAGAATAATATTCGAAAATACTCCATTTCGAACAAATACCAGCTGTAGGATGCTCTTTTCAAAGAGAGGAGCATTATATCAGCCGATCTGACGAAAAAATGAGTGGATTCGATGCCAAAAAGGCTTCAAGCGCTAATAGACACTAAAGGCTGCCACACTAAATACTAAAAAAACAAAAAAAAAACAAGAGAGAACGCTATAGTCGAGTGCCTCGACTATTAGATACCCGTTACTCAGCTAAACAACTTAATATAAATATGCAATTGCAACTGTGGACAATGTAAATACATACATATGTATATGCTTACATACATACACACATACGCCATTGTTTGACTCAGACCTCCAATTTGGCTAACTTGATTTGATTTGCATAGTTCTTGGGATATAGTTCGGTATTGACAAATGAAAACCATCGCAATTTCCTTTAATAGCAATCCTTATCGAGAATTAACGTTGACTCTGTTGAGCACCTCGGCCAGCTGTTCCAAAGTCATCCGTTAGATGGCGCCATGAAAGGCGGAAATGTAGGCGCTAGCCAGGCTTAAGCGTTTAATGGGTTTTTGGGCGTTAGAGTGGGCGTGGCAAACTTTTATTAGGCCAATCGATAGGTATTGACGAAACAAATTCATATCAATTAAAATTTTCATAATAGCATCAAAACTGTGGCCACAGCTTGTGGCTTGTGGGCGTCAGAGGGGGCGTGGCACCATTTTGAAACAAACTTGCGCTGCGTAGGAACTCCTAAAATCTACATGCAAAATGCCAATCTTCTAGCTTTTATAGTTTCCGAGATCTCAGCTTTCATACGGACAGACAGACGGACAGACGGACATGGCTAGATCGACTCGTCTAGTGATCCTGAACAAGAATATATATACTTTATAGGGTCGGAAACGCTTCCTTCTACCTGTTACATACTTTTGCACGAATACAATATACCCTTTTACTCTACGAGTAACGGGTATAATAAATACTTTCCAAATATTTTTATATTTTGGTGCTGCATGAAATAAGCTGTGAGGTAGAAATAAGCAGTATTTTATTATTTTGTTATGTTTTGGTTATAAAATGAAAAAGTTGACAATAAATGAAGTCACTAATTTAATCTAAACAATATCATCTTTAATTTGACACCACATTGCAGTACGCCCAATAGTTTTAACACTATGGAAGTTTGAAGTTAGGGGTTTGAAGTGCATACTTTAAGCTGTGAGCCACTGTACATATCTGCGAAATGAAGGTTTTTTAAAAAGTGATGTTGTTTATCGATGCGATCGTGAAGCCCGTCTTAAATGAGTTCCTAATCGTTCCCATATAATCTTACCTGTTTCAGAATCAACTACCCTAAAATGATCAGATACTACTCATTAGTTTTTGTTCAGTACACTTTATACATATGTACGTGTTACTCTTAGAGTAAAAGGGTGTATTACAATCGTTAAAATTCAGACGTCTCAGACCTAAAAAGATTAATATTTTTGATAAGGATCCATGGCCGTCTGTTTCAAATTTTGACTAGATCTACTATAACGTCCACAAATCTGGCGGCTTAAATATATGTACATATATATCGGGGGCTCGTTTGGTGACGAATTCATTTTTATTTAATTTTCAAAGCAATTTTTATTTAATTTGCCGCAAATCGAGCTGACCTCCAAGAACGCAGAGCTCAATTTTTCCAATTCCTTCTTTGCTCCTGACTCTGTTCTCACTCAGTTCGCGGAATACGATCAGACCTCACTCAGTAGCAGACACTCAATTTCCGAGACTATGCTTCTTTCCTGCTAACTGCGCATTTATAATCCAAAGTTCCAAAATATGTCTCGCCTATGCGTCGCCTACTTTAAATGACGTTCTAGGAAATGCACTTACGCAGCGAACACACACTGACCTACGAAGAACATGTACTTGATCTCCGACATATAAGTTAATTTCCAGGATAATAAAAACCCAAAAAATAAGTTTTGAACGTTTGATTTATTCGGAGTTCAATTTGAGACTGATTTTATTCATTTAAAAATTCCCTGATCTAAGCTGTGGGTTGGGGCAGCGACGTCGACGTCGCGGAAGAGACCGCGGCGGTGGCCTAGTTCTGGTGGAGCGGCTGAAACTGCAAGGTTTGCAGAATCGGCATTTTGGTACTGCGCTGTGGCTGCTGACCGGATGCGTGTGTTTATGTTATTGAACTTGGGGGTTCTTGGCGTGTTTATGTTATTGAACTTTCGGGCTCTTGACCGTTGTATTGAAATGTTGCAATGTTGCCATCGACAATGTTGCAATATTTCTCGGAAAAAATGTAGAAATATTTCTGTGATTAACTCTCCCTCCTTAAAAACCTGCTTGTCCTCAAGAGGTGTTAGAAATAGGGAATATTATTAAATTCTGGTATTATTTTTTTAGGAATTTATAATATTAGTTTTGTTGTTTAAAATTTGTGGAGGCGGTTCTTGAATATGTAGGATTACTTTTTCTTTTCTGTGAATACAGTTTTTTAATACGATCAATGCAAGAACAATGGCGCAAATTAATGTTACTGTGGTTATTCGGTTTATTGTAGAATCATTCTGTAAGGTTTGTAAGTGCTTTCTATTTTTGATATGTAGAGCTTCCAATGCTTCTAATGACAGAATTTGAATGCGTTGTGCTTGCAATGGGGTAATTTGAATTCGTGGGATTTCGGGTTTCATTATTACTTTTTCTTTGTTTGTAAAATTTTTTCCATTTATATTTATAGTTTCGTTTAAAAAGGTAACCATGAAAGTTCCTCTGAGTTGATGTGAAATATTGTTTGAAATTAGGCTGCCGTTAAAGTCATTTAAGAGTAGTATGCCATCGTCTATTTCCTCTATTGGTTCAATGTGGTCCGTGTTAAGATATAATTTATGGTTCACAGCACTTTAGTTAGAAATATAAACGCACTGGTTTTATTTTAATTTATAATTTATTTTTATTGATACTTCGTTGTCTTGCCGTCGTTTCTAGACTGCTCGGCCTATATTCTATTTGGGCTTAGCTCTATGTTGCGCGGTCGGCGCTGTCGGTCAAGCCGGCAGCGACGCAACCGCCTTATATATTAGCTTATGTTTATCTCTGAGAACGGTGCCCAGAGAGAGAGAATGGAATGTTATGTGCATACATGGATATATTTGTTGCAGTCGCCAAGCTGTGGGAATAAACTGGCGCGACTTATCACTCGCTGATGGCGTGTGTGGTCAAATTACGTTTGCACTTGAAGAGTGCTGATCCTGCAGACTTGGCTAACATTGTTGCCGATGGTACAGTGTGTACTCTGTATGTATGCACACTACATCTCCCTCCTTTTAAAAAATAACGTAATATATGAAGTTATTTTATCATAATATATATATATATTCTTAAAGTCTTAAAAGAAATTATATTTTTATTTTTTCGTTTTGTTTGTTTGTCTGTTTTTTTTTTTTTATGTTTTGATTTGATGTTTTTTTTTTTTTTTTTAATGCGAATATATATTTGTATTTATATATGACATTACAATGGTCATACTAAGTATCAAAAATGGTTTATTTGAAAATATAAGAATATAAAATGTCAATAAAAATGTAATAAAATTTGATAAAAATTATAAAATTGTAGTTAAAAGTAAAATTACGAAATATAAATTGGAAATATAATTGGAAAATGTTGTTGTAAAGTTCCTTCTTCTTTTTTTTTGTACCCGTATGGTTGATCAGGCCATACGAGATAACAAAGTATTTATACATGAACAATTTTAAGCCTATCCTTATGAACAACTTGTTTTTTATTTTTATCGCTCATTACTACTATGTTTTCATTTTCTTTTATTTCTACCACTTTGTAAGGGCCTAAATATT